ACTCATAGTACCAGACCATCGAATTTCTCGAAGAATCATGAATTTAAGACAAGGCATATAAACAAAACCCGGATCGCTAAGAGCCGAATACCAGAGCTTTAAAGTAACCAATGTCTTGCTTGTAAAGAGATTCAGAGGCATAAACTCGAAATAAGGATACATAATGCCGTCATCCTCTCGATATTCAGTACTACTCACAGCATCAAGAAGTCGAATTCCGCGGTTAATCCCTGTACCAATCCGATCCTTGAACCCGAGTATCTCACGCCTACTGTAATCTACCTTGAATTTTTGCAGGCGTGACTCCGGATTAAACTCGAGAAACCTGTCGATGAAGTTAATGAACACTTGTTCATATTCTTCATCTTCCTTAGGAAAATCACGGCAATTTAAGTCAAGTCCGGGAACATTTAGCCATAGATTCTTCCATCTAGTCGATAAAACACTCGTCTTCACCGAATCTTTAGTCGGAAGGCATAATAGTATTTGAGTAATCAAAGATTCCGGTAATTCGCTGATTCTATCAAACCCAGGCATCACGAGACACAAAACCCTAAGAGCATGAGCAGATAACAACAATGTAACTTGAACGAATCCTAGGCGTTGAATTATAAATCGATTAAAATCAGGTTAAGTATACGAAAGACTCACCGTGGATTCGATTCGGCGGCGAATTATCGACCGGAGTTTTGGCTTCAGAGGCTAAGTGATAAACGCTGGTATCGATCATTTTGACTCAAAACCCTCATTTTAGTATTTATACTAGTACTCGAAGCGGTTCCATTTCCAATTTGCGTTTCGAAATAAAAACGGCTGCCATTAGTAATTCTTAAACGCAATTCCACAAACGCAATTTGGTTACATAACGAATCCGTAGATATGACGATTTAGTCGAGTCAGAAATTTATTAAATCAAAGTATCTATATATCTATATATACATTTTTTGGAGAAATTTATGAAATAAATCCTGGAGTTCCACCTTATTTACGAGTCCATGCCATTGACATTTATTATTTACTTTTACAAAATTTAAATAAAAGATATTAACTAAACAATATCTTGCCTAATTTTTTTCTAAAAATCTCTACACAATCTTTCCGTATATCTTCAAAAAAAAATTTATAGCAAATATTTATATTAACATTTTGCATAACAATAAAAATACTAATCTACATATACATTTTTACAGTACTTTTTTGCTTTAATTCTTTTGGATCCGGGTTTGACCTGGTTTTAGTCTGTTCGGATCTTGGATAAGCAATTTTAGGGATGTTGTCTTAATTTCAAACTGATAAATGAAGCCATGTTGTCTTTAATTCATCTACTTATCCCGTTTAATGTTTCTTTAATTACAAAGAAGTTACCTATTTTAATGGTAAATAATCTTTCATATTAATGACCCTAATAAATAGCCAATTTTCATGGAAAATCGTTTTTCATATTTATGCTCATAATAAATGTCCAGATTTTAACAATAAATATATTATGAAATTATAAAGAAAAATGTATTTATTTTTTAACAGTATATATATATATATATATTATGTTAATAAATTTGTGTAAATACTCCAATAATAAGCTACGTCATTTTTCTTTGACAATAACAGATTAAATATAGGCAATTTCCCATTTAAATTGCAATAAATTTAAAATCAAAATAACAATTAATATATACATTCATAAGGAAATCATAATAAAATATGTTTATTTGAAGATTATATATCCTAATCTTCACATAATCCGTAATTATGTTTTTGATATATTTGAATATCTAATATTAAATTTCTAAAGGATTCTCAAAATATTTTTTATAATAAATATTGTTTTTACGAATAATATTTTGTTTTGTTATAAAAAGTAATATTTGTTATTTTTCTAAATTATTTTTGTAGTTAAATTACATAAATATTAATAATAATTTGTCTACACCATCAAATGAAAATAGTTAGTTATATAATCTTTTATTTAATATTACGTAATATATATATATATATATATATATATATTTAATATTACGTAATATATATATATATATATATATATATATATATATTTTGGTAATATTTTATGATGTGGGTGAACAAATTATTTTCGTATTTATGTAAACAAAACAATAAAATCTAAATTAGTTTAAAATTTGAGATACTATAATCCCAAAAATAAAACTAATTGGAAACTAATCGCAACAATCATTCTACATAAATGACATATTCTTTACAACATTACTAAATCGCATTTACTGCATTATTCGTTTCCAATTATGATTACAAATCTTTGATTAATTTAATGGTATTAAACTCATATCTACATATACATTTTTACAGGTTTTTTTTGCTTTTAATCATTTGGATCCGGGTTTTACCCGGTTTAAACCTATTCGGATCTAGAATAAGAGATTTAAGGAATATTGTAATAAAAACGACATTTAAGACTAAATTAAACATACAATTCGTTTTAATCTTATTTCCTTAACTACTTCCCACATTAATTGGTTCTATTCCTTTTTATCAATAGTAGCATTAAAGATTTTCCGTTTACGAATCTTGCAAAAATCTCTGCTTAGTCCACGATTAGTTTCTAAAATAAAATCTTCGAGATATTTGATAGCATTTAATTAATACCAAATTATCATTTAATTCTACATATCTCTAACCAAAAAAACGTCATTAATATAGATAATTACACATATATTTATGTTTCCTTATTCCTTAATTTCTTCCCATATTAATAGGCTATATTACTCTTTAATTTTTCAAAAATCGTTCTATCATAAAATTTACCCGTGCATGGCACAGATTCTTACCTAATTAAAAAAAGAAAGAAGACTATAAAATGGCGGGACATATCACCATACGAGGGAAACTATTTATTACCCTTGATCCACAAAAAAAACGTTATTCAAAAAACATGATTATCTATTCTCCTATGTAATCATATAATGAAATACTAAACTACAAAAATGTGTTATCTTTGGATTTGTTTATCCATCCATGTCTATTTTTTTACTCGACTTAGAGCATTTCCAACCCACCTCTATATTTGTCTTTAAACTCTATTTTAGAGGTAAATCTATTCTAACTCACCGCTATTCTCACCTCTAAAATCTATTTTTTGCTCTATATATAGAGGATCTCTATTTTTCTTTCTCTATAAATAGAGTTAAACTTTTTTAGAGGAAAAAATAGAGGAACACATTGGAGTAAAAATAGAAGAAACTCATCTCTATTATAGAAATAGAGATAAAAATAGAGAAATACATTGGAGATGGTCTTAGTGTTTTATTCACATAAGCTTTGATCCCAATTTCTTTGGATTGTAAATTGAATCATGTCGGATTTTGCATCCACAAATCCCATTCTCTTTAATGATCACCTTATAAATTCCCAATCCCTGCAAAAACAAATTGTGAAAACCACAATTCAAAGCAAAACACATCAAAACTCTATAACAATACTCCACCTGTTTCATTTTATAGGATGTTTTTTAAAAAATTGTTTCATTATTACATGTTTTAGAGGTTTTTATGTAAAATTTAAATGTATTTAATATTTTGTATTCATTTATATTATGCAATATATAATTTTAATAATTGGTTGAACTGTTTTAAATATAAATATTAAATGATATTGTTTATATATATATATATATATATATATATATATATTTAAAAAAAAAAATACGCATTTTTAACCAAAATATCTTTCAAAAAGTAGACTGAGGAAGTACATATATTAGGATTAAAGGATACCCAAATAAACAATTTGTGTGCTTTTTTTTTCTTTTTTTAAAAAAAATCTTTTTGTTAATTTTTTTTGCGTGCTTCATTTATGCCATCATTGGTTTAGGCTCCGATTGGTAACATTGCATAATTGTATAATAACATAAGTTGCAGAATAAAATTCGCAGAATGAAAACTTGCAGAAAAAATTTCGTAGAAAAAATTTGGCAGAATGAAATTACTTAAAAGAATATGTTGATTGGATACATTTTGCGTAATGACAGAATATAATATTATATCATCAATACTTATATTTAATAAACAAAATAATATTTAATAAATTTAAGTAATATTTGATAATAAAAATATATAAATATTAAAAGTTGTTAAAAGATTGTGAAATTTTAAAGATTGTGAAACATTGTGAAATCTTCAATTTTTAAGTATTATTCGAAAAATGGTATAAGTTTCAAAGTAAAAAATTATTTTCTTGTATTTTTAATCGCTAATATTTTGTGTGGATAAAATAATAAAAATTTATTATGCAAATAAACAACTATATATACACTTATTTGCATAATGAGATTTTATTTTTGTTTTTAGGCGAAAATGCAAATCCTGCGTTTTTGTGTTTTCTAATGCGATTATGCAGATTTTTTTTTTGGCAAAATTTTTGCATAATCGCATTAGAAATCGTCATTCCGCTCAATCGGAGCCTTAGCGTTCTTTTACCACACACTTCTTCTCAAGCTTTTCATTCATCTCTTTCAATATTTTTTCTAGCTTTCCCTACAATTTTTTCTCCCTCCAAACTTTCATTACCTCTTCATACATCTATCTTCTTCTCTTCAGCTACGGTCACCAGTTTTCTGATTTGTTGTTCAACAATTTTTTGTATGATCTCTCCGAGTTTTAAAGACTAATGAGACTCTGCATGTAGGCAACAAGCTTTATTGAGCCACCCAATCTCAATTAAAAGCGAGAGTAATAAGAAGAAGTTGTATCGTTTTGACATAAGATTTCGTAATTGATTAAATTGTTCTCCAATTAAACACCGGAGTCAAAGCTTCTTTCACTTAAAGAGAAAATTTTTAAGTTTCTTTTACATCTTCTTTTTTTTTGCACTTTTACATCTTGTTTCTAAAATAATCTAAAGATTACCAAACCCACAAGATGAAGAATAATGATAAGAAATTAAGTTAATAAGGAATACACCAGAATTTCAAAAGAACCCTCCATGAGTTTAGATCACTTAGTTTCTGATTAACACAAAAGAGGTGGAGAGTTTTAATTCTTTAATTAAGATTCCAAAAAACAAACTCTTTACGAACACATCATGGGAGATTGCGTTTGCGAGTTTTGATCTCCTTTATCATGTGAGCAATCCCTTCTTTTAGTGTTGCTTTCCTCTCTTGTTCGAAATTCCACAGTACCGGAACTGTGTACCGACCACTTGGGTTAAACTCGTTCAGTTCCACAAGTGCTGTCTTAACTGCGTTCTTCACTTCTTCTCCCCACTCTTTCCTCAGATTCTTGAGTTTCTCATCTTCTTCATCCACTACTTCCTGCACCATCATAACCATATAACATGCACCAGAATCAAGACATCTAATACAAGAGAGATAAAAGTAGCTAAACTAAACATGAGACAGAACAAACCTTCATTTTCTCTCCGGTTCCGATGCGTTTGAATGGATACCATGATGGATCCTTGAGTGTTTTCTGCCATTTCGAACAAAGCATGGCTTGTTCCAACTCAACGTTTTCACCACTAAATCTCTGTCTACATACTTTCAAGAAAGGCTTTTCATCAACTTCTCCCATCCTTTTTACACCGATGGTGGATGATCTATCACCTGATAAATCTCTCAAACCCTACACAAACAAAAAATAGACTTACATATATGTGAAAGTGAAACCCACAAAACATATATCATCAACACACTCAAGCAAAAACATGAAAATATAGTTATTACCCTAATCAATTCTTTGCGTGCTTCTTGTATCTCATCATTGCTTTGACGTTCTTTGATAACTAAGGCTGAGTTCATATCCTCTAATTCTTCTAACTCACAACGCTCCTCTTCCAGCTTCTCGTTCATCAGCTCTTCATTCTTCTCCTTCATTACTTTCTTCAGCTCTTCATTCTTCTCCTTCATTACTTTCTTCAGCTTTTCATCTTTCTCCTTCATTACTTTCTTTAGCTTTTCATTCATCTCTTTCTTCACTTTCTTCAGCTCGTCATTATTCTTCTTCATCATTATCTTCATCTCTTCAATATGAATGTTCTTCAACTCATTCATCGCTACATAAATTTTGTCCCTCAGCCCTATAGACGCCTCATATAAAACTTTCTTCAAATATTCCTTCGAGATTGTTATCTTCTGCCTTTCATCCATCTCATTCATCTTTTTTCTTTGTTAGGTTGCTTCGTCTTCTTCTTTATTGTTCAGCAAAAACTGTGATCTAATTTCCAAGCTTCACACTCAAGTTCTTTTTTTTTTAATAATAATATACGTATAAGTTCTTTATTGAGCCGCACAATCCGAGAGTGATAAGAACTGAGAAGACGTATCGTTCTGGATGTAAGATTTTCGTAATGATAAGTTTTGGTTTCCAATAAAACTTATTAATGCACCGTCTCAAACTTTTCTTCTGCGGCTATTAATTTATTAATTACGCTAGAATACCGAAACAACAAAATACTTTTTAACTTTTAATTTAGATGGTGCCCATATATGGCTAGCTAGTGGCCCATTAGTTGACAAAACACAGGCCCACTTAGTTTCTGACTAACACAAAAGAGGTGGAGAGTTTTAATTCTTTAATTCTTTAAGATTCCAAAAAAAAAAAAAAAGGGTTTGTTGGGAAAGTAGTACGTTTCTGAAACTTAATTGGAAAAGTAGTACGGTTACTATTTAGAATTAGTAAAATAGACAGCTTTTGTTGGGTGTGAGAGAGAGAGACGTGTGAGGACTTTAGTGGGCCATGTTTTTTTTATTTCTTTATTAAACATTCCTTGAAAGTTTATTAATTAAAAAGCTCTTTAATAAATTTATTTTTCTAAAATTGATCATATAAATAAAAATCTATGTTTTGTTCTCTATCATTTGATATGCATTTTGTTTAAAGATTTTTAAAATTTATATTATAGGGCACTGTACAAATAATATCTATACAGATATAAACCGCTGTACAGATATAGACTACTGTACAGATATAGACCACTGTACAGATAGAGACCACTGTACAGAATGGTGCATCTGTACAGAAGGATATTTGTTCGTTTAACAGTAAATTATGATTTCATTTAACAGATGCATCATTCTGTACAGTGGTCTATATCTGTACAGTGGTCTATATCGACCGCTGTACAGATATAGACTACTGTACAGATATAGACCACTGTACAGATATTAGGCCTGGGCAAACGGTTTGAACCGAAGTAAACCGAACCGACCGAACCGAATTTTTCGGTTTCGGTTTCACCTTTATTCTTAGACGATAACCGATCGGCAGAATTATAATTGGAGATCGGTTCACGGTTCGGTTCGGTTCGGCAGCGGTTAACCGATCGGTTTTCTCGGTTAAAGGAGACACCCTATAAAAGCCAAAAAAACCCTAGATCTAACGTGATACCTTCTTTTCTCCTCTTCTCTATCCCCTTTAGTTTCTTTGACCTTCTTTCCTCTCTTCTATTTGCGGCCCCAACATCACTAATCCGATTTTACATGTGAATCCTTCATCACTTAACTTCATCGGATTCTCCATTTGTTCCGCCGGAGATATCACAAAACGGACGGATCTATTCCGGTATTTGTTCTCACTTTTTCTCTTTTCATTATTTATTATGGAGATTAGAATGATTAAAAACCATCTTTGATTTCTCTTCACTAACAATGATTTTTTTTGTTGCTTTTATCACGATGGCTAGGGTTTGGGACATGTGGCTCCTCAATGAAGATCGAAACAGCAACCTTGAGGTTCCATGGATGATTTTCAAGAAAGGCTCATCAGACGGAGACATCAAACCGCCGTCGCCGCCGTCAAACCCTAATTGTTAATGGGTTGGCGGTCTGGGCTTTGTAAATTTTGCTAAACTGGGCTTTGTAAATTTTGCTAAACTGGGCTTCTTATTGGATTTAATTGATTTATTGTAATTTTCTGAGCCCAATATCCTTGATTTTGTGTAATTCGGTTCGAATAAACCGAATTAGAAAAAAATTCGGTTTACTTCGGAATTGATTTTAGTTTCCATAACCGAACCGAAAAAAACGAGAACCGAACCGAACCGAACCGAACTTTTATTCGGTTCAATTCGGCAGAATTTTTGATAACCGAATAACCCGAAAAACCGAATAAACCGAACCGAAAAAACCGAATAAACCGTTTGCCCAGGCCTAACAGATATAGACCACAGTACAGAATGGTGCATCTGTACAGAAGGATATTTGTTCGTTTAACAGTAAATTATGATTTCGTTTAACAGATGCATCATTCTGTACAGTAGTCTATATCTGTACAGTGGTCTATATCTGTACAGTAGTCTATATCTGTACAGTGGTTTATAACTGTATAGATATTATTTGTACAGTGCTCTGTAATATAAAATTTAAAAATTATTAAACAAAATGCATATCAAATGATAGAGAAAAAAACATAGATTTTTATTTATATGATCAATTTTAGAAAAATAAAATTTACTAGAGAGCATTTTAATTATTAACTTTGAGAGAATGTGTAATAAAAAAAGAAAAAGAACTTGGCCCACTAACAACAAACCCCACGTTTCTCTTTCTCACCCCACTTTTTTTCTATTAGTGAGTTCTTGTATCTCACAAACTGGTGGACCCGAGTAATATCCCAATATTGAATAGTCCCTGTACTAGTTTTCCAATTAAGTTTGGAAAACGTACTGTTTTCCAACTTATTCCAAAAAAAAACTCTTTACGAACAAACTCATGGGAGCTTGCGTTTGCGAGTTTTGATCTCCTTGGTCACGTGAGCAATCCCTTCTTTCAGTGTTGCTTTCCTCTCTTGTTCAAAATGCCATAGTACCGGAAACTGTGTACCTTAAACTCGTTCAGTTCCACAAGTGCTGTCTTAACTACGTTCTTCACTTCTTCTCCCCACTCTTTTCTCAGATTCTTAAGTTTCTCATCGTCTTCATCCACCACTTCCTGCACCATCATAACCATGTAACATGCACAAAAATCAAGACATCTATTACGAGAGAGAGGAAAGTAACTGAACTGAACATGAAACAGAACAAACCTTCATTTTCTCTCCGGTCCCGATGCGTTTGAATGGATACCATGATGGATCCTTGAGTGTTTTCTGCCATTCTTATAAATAGGAAAGCAAATACGTGTGGACAGCGATTCTTATTGGTGGGTGGTCCGTAATCCACCCGAGTTACAAAACCAGACAGAACCGGACCGGGGACACATCACATGATTGGACCAAAAATTTATAAGATAACTAAATCATCACGGTTAGTTTTGAACCGAGACCCGAGACACTTTTTTTGACTTTTTATTACAAAGGCATTAGGGTTTAAGGTTTTATGTTTGAACAAAAAAAATGTTCCTCTCAAAGATGATGGGCATGTCGGCTCGTTCCTCTATCGCGTTTCGATACTTCCCTACTCTATTACCTTACCTCCCTCGGAAACTTCCAGGTAATCTCCACACTTTGTTCCTCTTAAGCCTATTCTCGAGATTGATGGTTTAGGGCTTTAGAAGAAAAGAAATTTGTAAAAGAAAAATGTGGCTTCTTTTTGCTCTAATGGTTTTGACCCAAACATATGTTTTGATCCATGTATTTTCTGGTATTCGCAGAAACTAAGATTGTTGAGTTGTTTATTCAGAATCCTGAGGATTGGAAAATATCTAGAAAAGATCGGGCTGTGCGGATGCTAGATGATCCAGACCTCATAAGGATACTGAACATCCCAAATTGGAACTCCGATACTGAGCGTGCCCTTATGTGGTATGAGAAGAGAGTTGATCATCAATTTGTTTGTTCAGTCCTCGAGATAGGCGTTAACATAAATGTCAAGATCGAGTTTTTCAAGTGGGCTGCTAAAGTAAGACACTTTAATCATGATATCTCCACCTACGTGACCTTAATACGTTGCCTTGAAGAAGCTAGGCTTTATGGTGATATATATGAAACGATGGAAGAGGTGATCCGTAGCCCATATGTTGGATTTAGCCCAGCGGTACTCTTTGAGTTTGTGAAAGTATTTGGCCGAGCTAAGAAGATGAACGAAGCTTTGTCGTTTTTTTACAAGGCGAAAGAACGCAAGTGTAGACCCACTTCTAGCACTTACAACTCGGTAATTCTGATGCTCATGAAAGAAGGACTCCATGAGAAAGTCCATGAGGTTTACGCTGAGATGTGTAACGAACGTGGCTGTTTTCCCGACATGGTTACTTACTCTGCGCTTATATCCTCTTATGAAAAATTAGGCCGCGATGATTCTGCGGTAAGTTTGTTTGAAGAGATGAAGGATAACTCTTTGCAGCCTACAGAGAAAATATACACCACCTTGTTTGGAATATACTTTAAGGAGGGTAAAGTTGAGAAAGCTTTACATCTTTTCCAGGAGATGAAACGAGCAGGTTGCTTTCCAACGGTTTATACGTACACGTACGGAACTGATAAAGGGACTTGGTAATGCTGGGTGGGTAGAAGAAGCATATGGTTTATATAAGGACATGCTTAGAGATGGATTGACTCCTGATGTTGTGTTCTTAATCTATCTCATGAACATGTTAGGCAAAGCGGGTCGAGTGAAGGATTTGAGAAATGTCTTTAATGAGATGGGGATGTGTAGTAGGATCAATGAGCTCGAGCAAAGCATCCATGACCTAAGAGCTGAGATGAATGCAGAAGGCACTCCTCCTTCCGCCTCTGAATCAGTCGATGAACCTAAGAGACCCGTTGTTTCCACTTTTAAAGCGTTCACACACAAGTTCTTTTGATTGGCAGCATTTTCCGAAGAAAATACTATGAAATTCTTGAGACTTGAAATGAGTTTTGGTTCGTTTAAACTCTAAAGGATTGATTTTAATTTGTGATTTTGTTTTGATAACTAATTTATAATACACTATGAAAACGCGTGGGTTTGAAATTAATATAACAAATTTGTAAATGCGTTAAGACTAAATCTATACTAGTATTTTTAAAATACATTTTTAGCGGGTGTGTTAAATTTTTTTGCGGACACAAATGGTATCCGCCCCGATAAAAAATTTATTTCATAAAAATTTTGTTGCTCAGGTTATATTTAACCCAACTCTTACACGGTTTTGCCACAAAGTCGGATACAAATAGTACCAAAATTGGATTGTGTCCACTAATTACGTTTCTATATTTAAAAATAAAAATATTTAGAAGATTTAGTTCTGATTTAAATTTATGATTCTCATTTCATCTTTGTTTGATTATTTTTTTAACTGTTTTGAATTATCATATAATACATAAAGTTAAAAAAAATTTGCATATATTATGGTAATTTTAAAGACGGACAAATATTACCCAATTAATGAAAAAGTATGTGTTCAACATCCCACATCGGCAAAAATGTTTAGACAATGATTCAAAATCATATTATAAATAAAATCAAAATGAATCCAAATCTAAATGAGCAGGATCATTAACTTAACAAACATCCAAATTTAAAAGTTTGTATACGGGTTTATTCAGTTTTTAGTTAAGCTGTCTCATTTTACCGAAAATATTATAATTGATATATTTGAAAGCAATCGAAAGTTTATAATATTATGAACATTTGAACATATAAAAATAAAAAGTAACACGGGACGGATTCTATTGCGGGATGGCAGGACGGATTATGAATCAACATTAATAAAAATTTTAAATATCATTAACTTGCCCCTTCAATACAGACGAATTAAAATCAATAAGAAGTTTATAATATTATGAACATATTAAAAAAAATAGCAAGGGACAAATTATATTGCGGGACGGGTTATAGGGCAGGACAGGTTTGAATTAACACTAATAAAAATTTAAAATATCATTAACTCGTCGCTTCAATACGGGTTAAACCCAAATTTTATTATTTTTAACACTACAATTATCAGAAATATCGAATTAGCAAAATAAGATTGTATAAAACAAAAGTTATCTCGTGGTATACCGCTACTTAATAATAGTTGTAAACTATAAAAATATAAATGTTTTATTAAATGATACTGTTTGTAAATTTAAAAAATCACTACTTTTAGTAAATGAATCGTCTTGCGGTGTACCGCGGGTTAAAATCTAGTTAAATTGTTTTCGGACACGAATGGTACCCGATCCAATAAGAAATTTACTTCATAAAAATTTGGTTGGATCGGATTATATTTAACCCAACTCTTGCACCAGTATTCGCCTAAAAGTCGGATACAAATATTACCAAAATTAGATCGTGTCCACTAATTACGTTTCTATATTTAATAATAAAGATATTTAGAAGATTTGGTTCTGATTTAAATTTATGATTCTACTTTCATCTTTGTTTGATTATTTTTTTAACTGTTTTAAATTGTCATATAATACATAAATTAAAAAAAAATCTCAATTCTTTTTCTTACATAGTGATTCGAAATTTTAAAAAAAAATATATATTACCCAATTAAAAAAGGAAAATATTCTCAGAAATACCGTTCTCCCCAAATTCTGCCATGAATTCATGTTTGCCCACTTCTACTAGGATTTCAATACATATCGAGGAATTAGACATTGGAAACTCATGAACATAATGAGCTTTTTCCTAAAAGGGAAGGAGACCTAGGATTCCGAGACATTAAATCCATCGACTTACAGTTTTTTGAGAAAGCAATTATGGCTAAATCTCATTGTCTCATCCAATTTTCTCTGTAATCTTTAAAGGTCGATATTTTAAGCGTTCATTCCCTTCTCACATGAATGGATTCCACAATCAATATATATATCATGAAGTGCAACATTGATGCATCGTATGGGTGGACAAAACTTGGATCAGCGTAGGTTAGGTTAGTAGAAACGATCAAACGAGATTCAAGGATTGTGGGCGAAGATTTGCCAAAATTTCGTTCTTTGTTGGCTACTGTAGGTGAAGCCTATGTTCGGTAGACTTTGTTCCCTACCGCAAAAATCTAATGTGTTCACTTTGACAGGATTTCAACATCTTTTAGCTCTTAACTCTCATCAAGCCCATAGAGTTGCAAATCGAATAGCCACTTTTTGTTGCGTTGTTCCGAATCGGCTAGTCTTTTGTTGCGGACTGATAGGCCAAACCACTTCCATAGTCGTTGAAATTAAGACAGTTAAGTTGAGGGAAACAAAGTTTGAAACATCGAAAGTAAAAACGACCCACTAAACAGAAACCTTAACTTCAGAACCTCGGATCACGCAAAACAAAAACAGTACAGGTGCAAGTCTATCCTCTTTTCCTCAATTTGGAGCCTCTCTTCTCTACCCAAATGTTGAAATGAGGAAGTTTTTGTATATGCTCATAAACTTGGCCACAAATGCTGCAGTGTAACACCAACAGAAAGTAAGAAGATGATATTTTTTTATGTAGCCTATATAGGCCATATGCAATAACTAAAAGAGTTTTATATACCTTCTATGTGAAATATGGCTTTCTGACCTAATCGCATCCGATGTTCCTGTAAGAAGGGCCAAAGACATATCATCAAGCAAGCCATCAAAACAAAAGGACGGGAGCTCAGGCTCAAATGAGAAGAGAGATGTTGAGATAATGGTGAGGAGAAATCAAATTCGCAAACTAAGACTAAGAGCGGTATACAAATATTCTTACATAATATGCAGCCCAGTGACAGACTTCAAGCTTTAGCTCTGAGTCCAGTTTCTTCAGCAATTCATGAAGAAGTCTCTGGAAAAGCATAAACTACGGGTAAGAAAAGAAAGGGAAAGGGACACAAATTCATAATTATACATAACTGAATAGGGTTTTGTTTAAGACCTTTAGAATGACTTCTGGTGGAATGCAATTAACTAGCAATTCATACAACTTTCCACGCACCTGAAATAACCTGAAGAAGCACACAATAGATGATAAATTCAAATTATGTTTTAAGTTATATATTATAAAACTAAATGATTCACTAGAGTCTGACTTTTTAGGGCTTTGTTCCTTCATCATGTCAGTTGCTATTTCAGCAACATACTCTTCCCAGTCCATGGGAGATATCACTTGGTTACTTGTGAACGGATAGCTACAAAGAAAAATGAATATCAAGAATAAAGTAATGTAAATTTGATTTTCTAAAACATGAAACAACAAAAGAATCGAACTCATTGATTGTCTGCATAAGTACAGTTTACGATACTTACTTTTGGACACGACAAGTCTCAAGCGACAAAATAGCTCGTCTTAGACTACGATTTGATTTTTCAGCAATTCGAGCAGCAAAACCCTGGGGCAGTTGCAGACTTTCTTTCTTTGCAACGAACTCCAACACTTTCACTATCTGGAACCAGAGAGCTACATTTTAGTTAACAATAATCTTGCATACTTTTTTTTGTCAAGAAAGTTTACACAGGCTAATTAAAGCAAACTGAATCTTATGTAATATTTTAATACTGGCAGTCGTGAAAGACTTCTCATTAATGATAAAACCAGAAGTACAGGTTTTAACTAGCTGTCTTGCCAATCCAACAGAAGTACACGTAAAAATGGGAAGAATATGTAAGAACCTATATCTATTTGAGTTGATCTTAAAAAATCCATCCATAAGATGGGCAATTCTAAGAGAGGATTTGATATGAAATTTCCCATTAAAAGCTACAAAACAAGATTTGGGTCTCAACACTGACTTTAACACAATGCATCATGTATTATCGACATTCCACAAATTCTCTTGGCGGATCATTTATACGAATATTTTACAAAAGACAGAGGGAACAGCTTCTGTACCTCTTCCTGTGAAGGTGCATTTATGCGCACATTAAGACATCGAGACTTAATGGCTTCGGTAACCTTCGAAGAGCTGTTACAGCATAAGATGAGACGGCAAGATGAGCTATATTTCTCCATTGTTCTCCGCAGAGAATGTTGAGCTTCTCGTGAGAGCTTGTCAACCTCATTTAATACCAGCACTGCCAAAACCAAATAAAAACACACACAAAATTATTTATTTGGTCAAATCATATACTTTTTGCATCTATCAGACATCATCCAACATCCATAAGTGAAAAGAAGTTGAACTACTTTGGCATGTCATGGAGGCAAAATTTTGTCTAGAAACGATGTAAGAGACGAGATATAAGTTGATAATCAAAAACATAGAACCAAAACGTATAAAGAAACATTCAGCTGAATAAGAAGTCTTAAAACTAGATATACGAGGCAACCATCTAATTGACCAAGTCTACCACATCAGTATACAGATTGAAGATGACAACCAATGCCCTTATTAAAGTCTCACTCTTCATAGATGCAACAATGGAATACTATGAGCCCTCGACATCCAAAGTGTCTCCACTGATGATACTGTTGTATAGAAAAAGAGTCAGGCAGAACACTAATTCTTACCCTTATATCCCTTCTTTCCTTTCGTGTCAATTGGTCTGTTCTTGGCCATTTCTTTAATTATCTCCTGAACGATATATCGGTCCTGAAAACCTGCATCACTTGGAGTAAGTTCCACATGATTAGTGCTTGACAATGTAGTGAGCTCCAGATCAATAGTTCTACTCCCAGCCTGCATTGTTCAAAGTTAACATAACAAAAGATTAAAGGACGGCGAAATTGAAAATTATCACAATGTTGTCATGTATAAAAGAATAATCCGCCAAGAAGGACCACCAACTAAAGAAATTGATAGCAAACACAATTCACATCTGTGTTTCACAAGTAAGATGATACCATCAGAACCACAATTACTAATCCAACAAGGAAAAAAGACGACTATGGATATCAATCAGCGAGATCTTTAAAAGTCAAAGCAACTTACATCAACTTTCCACGCCCTGTTCTCTACTTTCACCTGCAGTCAAATAAATCAAGCAATTTCTCAGTTGCCATTTGAAAAAGAAAGTAGGAATCAGAAGATAAACTTAAATCTAAAGAGAAAATTAAGAGTTAGCGCTAGTGAGAGTAACTTCCTAAATCAAAAACCACATCTCAACATGAAAAAAACAAACAATTCACTTTTCTCAATCAGCATTATGGTTCAAAGTCTTCATCTTTTACTACTGAGAACTATACTAGGGTTTAAGAAAGAAAGATACCTTCTCTGCACTGGCACCATATATCTGCTTGAGAAGCGCCATAATTAGGGTTTTCTTACCAGAACCTGACGGTCCATAGAAGAGCAAATGCGGACAATCCTGCTCGTTAACCTAAGAGGAGAATCGAAATTTAGCTTCCAATACATCGAAAAATCCCCAAAATGTCCTAGGGTTTGAACAAAAAGGCGTACCAATTTCTTGAGATTCTGGGCGATATCTTCATGAACGATAACCTTGTCGAGTGATTTCGGCCTGTACTTGTCGACCCACAACATCTTTGCTCACCACCGGAGGAGTTTTTGGAGGAAGATAGTGAAAGTGGCGGGAAATAAGTGAATCGTCTTCTTCTTCCTCAGCAGCTTTTTTTTGTGCAAGACGTCTTAAGCTCTTTTTTCTTCGCTTACACATTCCCACGTCAGGTCAAAGGACCAAACCCTCTCTTTCGTTTAGAGTCTTTTGGTACCATACCGGTTCGCCCGATAATAGCAATTGCGGATCGCATAAGTGTATTTAGGATATCAAAAATTAGCAATTGCGGATCGCATAAGTATATTTAGGATATCGAAAATTAGCAATTGCGGATCGCATAAGGGTATTTAGGATATTGAAAATTAGCAATTGCGGATTGGATAAAGGTATTCAAGTTATCGAAGATTAGCAATTGCGGATCGGATAAGGGTATTTAAGATATCGAAATTACTATCCTAAGTATACGAAAAAAGCGGGCAACAGTAGGTTACGGATCATATGGAAATTTAAGTTCCAATATGGATCGATTGGTGAAACCAGCCTGAAATGCACATACAAGCCTATATCATCAACAAGACAACAAAGGATATTTTGACTAAGGTTTATGAAAATTATACATAATTTATCATGAATTTGATTTATATATCCTAAACTATTACAACTTCAACATAGAGTTAGGTATTTTCACCGTCTACTTAGAGTTTCCAATAGATCTTGAATCTATGAAACACACCAGTGACCAAACCCCAGAAGAGAATCTCCGCGAAAATGACATACATAAGCACACCAACTCTTTTTGAATGCCAAACTCTGATAAAAACATGCTCTCGGATCCAATCTATCTAGAAAGGTATCACAATACGGTTAGTAAACTTCAATTGAGCCACTAAGAGGAGAAGAAAAAAACCATTTGAGATTTTCAGAGTAAGTAACTGTTTCTTACCAGTGTATTGTGTGGGTGGCGATAGTACCAACCATTGAAGAAAGCAGCCAAAATACCTTCTGCTCCCATCACGTAGACTAGCATGGCGTTCATGCCTATCCATTTTAGAGGCAGAAACATGTGTTTCCACTCCAATATATCAACCTGCAAAACCCAAAACAATAAACAATGGATCTGTTTTGTCCAATGTTTGTCAAACGTCTTCGTTGTTGTCAATGTCAATGTGGTGGAGCAAGTTACCAGAGAATACAATGAAGAGAAGACGAGTGCAGCTGCACCGGAGGTCACGCATATGTAGCTGAAACTGTAGAGTTGTTTGTTCAAAGGCATCACTGCAAAAACATTTTTGTGTTTGTAATATATGTTAAGAGAAGAAACTGTTTTGAGTTGGATCAAAAGGCAAGGTGTTTCTCACAGTGGGTGAAATGCAGAGTAAGTCCGAGAGTGAGGAGAACAAGACCGGTGGAGATCCAATGTTTCAGCCGAGCTGAATGCCCCTGTAAAAATTTGGTAATGTTGAAATGATGATATTGGAAAGACAAAACAGTGATAGTTCGTAGGAGCTTGAGGCTTATGTTTCATTCCAGTAAGTTGACCTTCATGTGTATGATAATATGCCCAAAATGGACTCCGATAATTGTAGAGAGAATAGCAGATATGGAGCTGCATCAGACAAGTTTTAGAGTGTTATAAATTTCTGAAGAGAATAATGATGCTCGGTTAGTGACTCCGGGTGACAAGATTAAACCTTAGGACTCCTTCAGGCTCAAACGGAGCATGGCACCATGACGGTGCATCTTGACGTATAGCTCCCTCATAGGGAGAATCATTGGTGCAAGCCTAAAAACTCAAAGAACACATTAGGATTGAGTCCATTGACATGAAAAATATATCACTAATCTATAAACCCTTCCTTATATCTTCTATAACATAAAAACTCAAAAGGCATAAGGATTGACATAAAACATTTAGCAGTCAGAAATTGCTAACATGGTCAATCTAGAGGCAAGCACAAAGGGAAATTGGATATTGAACCTTGGTTCGTCTCCACGCAGGATGGTGGTACATATGATTGATCCCTAAAACTTGTCTGTCAACATATCCAACAGCATTGCAAGGAGGGTTTAGCTTTCCTCTCACTCCACATGTTACCTAGGAAGAATTCTCTGAATTTATCATGAAGTGTAGACAACACTTAGTAATGGTCTCATAACGTACAAACATCGAAAGACTTACAGATTGAGAATTCCCGTACAGAATGCTATCTTTATCATAAACAACAAATTCCCAGTCAGGAACGTAAGTTCCATAGAGTGTAGCCAGATAAATCACGAGAACTGATACACCCACAATCCTGTGAATGTACTAGAAACAAGGTTAATCCGAAACTCTCTATCTAGTTTTCATAAAATTACAATTCTGACTAACTCAAATGTAATGTATTTACCAATGCCAATAATATGACTTGAATATTGAGAACCTTCCAGTTGACAGATTCTCCTCATGTGAGTCCTTTGTGAAGATCTCAACCAATGCTACTACCAAGTAGGATAAAGCTATTCTCTACATGAAAAAAGAAGACAAACATGAACCTTCTAGGTTACAGGACGACATGAATACATAAAATGAACCATGATCATATTAAACACCTGGAGAATCCCACAAAACCTCATCATAGTTACATCAACACCATAGCTTAATTCATCAGGAGCATGAGAGAATCCACCTTCACAGCAAAAGAAAATGAAGAGTCCCAAATACATGAATGTTAAAGTAAAGAGGCTACAAAGTGAAATTACCCTGAAGTAGAAGACTCCAGAAGAGAAGCTTGCAAGTCCTAAAACCCACCTTCTTACAAGCTTCAAATTTGTTCGAAATTCTCTGAAAAATTGAAGGCAAAAAAACAAGTGCATAATGCGATTTCTATGCAACAACATCGGAATTCTGAGAGCTTTCCAAGTTCGAAATTGACCTTTAAGGAAAGAGCGATGGAGACACCAACGATGAACAAAAAGAAAGGCATGACGAAATCAGCTAAATTGCAGCCGTTCCATGGAGCATGCCCAATCATTGGCCAATCTCCTCCGGCGTCATCCACGAGAATCATCAACTGCTTCGTTAAAAGCTTTATAAGCTGGAAATTCGCACAAGTAGAGAGATAGAGAGAGAAGAAAGAGATGCGTACGGCGACAGTGAGGCCGCGGAAGATGTCGAGAGAAGCAAGTCTTGCTCTGTTTCCGGCGAGGCTCCTCCGAGTAGAAGCAGCAGTATCTTCTTCAGGTACGAGGAGATGTTGATCGTGACTCCTCTCCGCTTTGATTTCTTCCGCCATTTACTTTCAATTTTCTTTGGAAGGTGACTATATCGCTTCTTCTACTTCGAGTAGAACGCACCATTTGTTTTGCTGATGCCTTAATTTGTATGGATTTTTTCTTGGGTTGTGTGCAATAGATTAACAACCATAACTCATCTTTTTTTTTTTCGTCTGAATGATTCAATAGATTAACAACCATAATATTCAGGGACAGATACAAAACGGAACAAAAGCAATCAAACAACAGAACATCATTACAAAGTAATGCATTTATCATTTTCGAATACCTTCTGAAGCCAAAAAGGGTAGCCTTGAGCTACGTATGATTGCAATCGTTCCTCCCTTGTAACACTTCTAGCAATCAAGAAAGCACCAAGATTAGCTTTCCTTACCTCAGTAATCACACGCCAGGACTGAATAAAAGAGAGAGCCAAAAGGAGGCATTCGGCCTGAGATTTGAAACTAGGCCAAGCTGCTGGCCTGTTAATCACTCCCGCAAATTCTTTAGCCTCAAAAGCAAAGACCACTCTAGGAATATGGAGATTCTGCATATCTTTTATCGCCCATAAACAAGAAAGAAGCTCAGTCTCACCTTTCGAATTAATCTGGACTAATGCAGACCTGCTGTGAAGTAAGACATTACCAAAAGAGTTTCTCAAAACCCAAGCCATACCACAAGAGCTTTGTTCTTTATTCCAAACTGAAGCCACATTGCATTTTAACCAGGGTTTCTCAGGGGGGCGCCAGTTGCAATGCATGTCAAGAGGCTGAACATGATCAAGAACAGAATCAGACTTCTCCAAAATCTGAGCTAGGAACCATTCTTCAGAATCCTCTTTAATCTTTTTCAAGAGGTCAATAGTAGTGAAAGACAAACCATCAAAGAAGAGGTTGTTTCTGTTCTTCCACAGAGACCAGAGAATCCAAGGAGGAGTTCTTCTAAAAACCAGTGGCACCTTAGTGTTCTTACACATTAACAAGATATGATGCATATTTTGAAAAGTAGACCGCGGGTCAAACCATCTTGAGGCAATGGAAAACCAGATAATGCCCAAATCTGTCTAGCCAAAGTGCAAGTGAAAAGAACATGGTTTATTGATTCACCTTCCACACCACAAAGTTGGCAACGCTGATCCACTTTCATTCCTCTAGTACTAAGTCTTTCAGCAACAGGAAGAGCACCACAAAAAGCTTTCCACATAAAGATCTTAATCTTAGAAGGAGCCAAAACCTTCCAGATTTGTTCTTTGATCCCATTAAGGGAAGGAAGCATATAAGCCAATCTGATCTCTTCTTCATTCACCACCTGAGAAGCCAACCAGTAACCAGATTTAACAGAATACTCACCACTTTTATTATGCCGCCAGCACATAAAATCAGGAGAAGAGGTAGCAGGTTTGGTCTTCCGAATGATCTCAACATCACGTGGAAAGAAATGCTCATTAAGTATACCGGGATCCCAATCCCTCTGCTCAAAATCAATCAGGTCTTTGACAGATAACTCCAAATCAATAAGGATACTCTTCATGAATGGAGCTCTCATACCACCATCCTCCAACCAAAGAGTAGACCAGACTTTAAGAGATTCCCCATTACCAACTCTTTGCTTTAAACCTTTAACTAGAAGAATTCTGCCATGCAAGATGCTCCTCCAAGCAAAGGATGGTCTAGAACCCAATACTGCCTCCAAGAATGGACTGTCATTGAAGTATCTACTCTTGAAAAAAAGAGAAAATAGGCAGTTAGGAGACTATAGCAACCGCCACGCCTGTTTAGCTAAGAGGGCCTGATTGAAGAGTTCAATGTCTTTAAAACCCAAACCCCCCCAAATTTTTGGGTAAGCAAAGCCTCTCCCAGGCTACCCAACTAATTTTCCTCTGGTTCTCCATAGAGCTCCACCAAAACGAAGACATAGCACTAGACAAGGATTCACATGTGGCTTTGGGAAGTTTAAAACAGGACATGGCATAGACCGGCATAGCCATTGCCACAGTTTTCAATAGAATTTCTTTACCACCTTGTGAAAGAGTCTTTGCAAACCAACTAGAGAGTCTATTCTTCAACTTCTCGTGAATGTAGTCCAACATCTCTTTTTTTGGAACCGCTGAAACACTCTGGTAATCCCAAATAAGTGCCGGCTCCACCTTCACATTGGATACCCAACTTGTTCTTGACCAACACCTTAACAGAATCCTCAATCTTATCCCCAAAAGTAATAGAAGACTTCTCCAAATTGATGGACTGACCTGTGGCATTCCCATAGATAGACAAAATGTTTTGTAGTTCACCACATTGATCCTCATCAGCCTTGCAAACAAAAAGACTGTCATCAGCAAAAAGAAGATGATGAATAGAAGGACCAATCGGAGAAAATCTCATGCCACTGATCTTGCCCTGAATCTCAGCTCTGTTTAAAAGATGTGTAAGCCCCTCAGTGCAGAGAACAAATAGAAACGGAGAGAGAGGATCTCCCTGCCTCAGCCCACGATGAGGAGTAACTAAACCATGCGGGTGACCATTCACTAAAACAGTGTAGGAGACAGTGGTCACACATTTCATCACGAGCTCCACCCAAATCTGATTAAACCCCAAAGCCAAAAGAAGATGATGGAGATAGCTCCATTCAACACGGTCAAAAGCCTTAGATAAATCAGTTTTTATGGCCATAAACTCCTTGGGTATGGACCCATGTGTTCTCAGGGCGTGGACTATCTCATGAGCAATAAGAATATTGTCAGAGATAAGACGGTCTGCCACAAAAGCCGATTGAGTAGGTGAAACTAGATCTTCTAGAATAGGCTTCAATCTTGACACTAAGATCTTGGAAATTACCTTGTACATCACAGAGCAGAGACTAATAGGCCGCAGATCAACCATAAATGAAGAGTTAGTCTTCTTGGGAATAAGACAAATCTGAGTAAAATTCCACTCTTTCTCAAAGATACCATCCTCAAAAAATTTGAGAACCTCAATAGTCAGCTGCTTCCCTACAATATCCCAATATTGTTGAAAAAAGAGACCGGTCATTCCATCAGCACCAGGAGAGCTAGAGGACTTAATCGAGAAGACAACCTCCTTAACTTCTTCATTAGAGACTTTAGCCAAAAGCCTGGCATTCATATCTTTAGTTACTCTCGGATGGAATTCTTCAAAAAGCTCCTGAGGGTTAGCAGGATACTTCCTAACTCATCTATTTTGGAACTTTATTTCCCAAAAAATACATATTAATCCTATAAAGTCCAAAATAATATGCAATGTAACATTTATTTGCTACCGTCAAATTTGTAAAATTTTGATATCACATTACGCATTATTTTAGAGTCCAAATAATTATTTTGCATTTTTTCCGAAATAGAGGATAAAATTGCAAAAATATGCGAATTTGAAAGTTTTTTTTTGTGTTTTTTACCTCCACCAACAAAAAAACAAGTTCTAACGTAAATATTTATTTCTATTATTTAAGTGTTCAAAAAAAAAAAAAAAATCTTACGACCAATTCATTCTCGTGCATATTCCATTACTCGTAAATGGTCAGATGATATAGTAGCAAATTATTTTTTTTTCCCAAGGATTTTATCAGATAACAATTATATAAATTCAAGACTTAACAGAATCAATTTTAAGCGCAAATGAAACAGTATTCTCCCAAAACAAATTGGAATTCACATCTCATATACCATCACAAATTGCACAGAAAGGCAAAAGACAAATTTCATTTTCCAAAAAGATCAGAAGGAGATTCGAAAAACACACTCCCTATCCCTTACATACTTAATAGAAAACCAACAACAGACCAACTTCTTATGTAACTTTTGGTTTTCTCCACAATCATAATAGCAAGGGAAGTTAGCAGATTTGGCAGTAGAAACAGACAAAGTCCTTAAACTTGTTGCATCAACCACGCCCGCGACCTGCTCCTGTTTCCACGACATATACAAGAGTTTAGCTTAAATCCACTTGTGGCAGACAAAACTACGGATATGGTCATAACAGATTTTGATGTATTTTAGTATATTCAAAGTTTTGTGACAGCTTTGTCTGTGTGTTTTACCTCTGTTGCCACCCATCTTCCCCATTGAAGTTCCTCGGCCTCTGCCTCTGGCCCCTCCATCATCCACACCACGTCCTCTTCCACGTCCAACACCTGGTGGTTTCCTATCTGCACATATATTTAACCATTGTTTTACAATTGGAGTATTCTCGATGTATACTCTGGCTAGTTATTAACACCTCAAAAAACTCGAAGCATATCTCAGTAAAGGCACAATATGACATGAGTAATACTATACCTGTGCGACTCTTCTCCTCCTGTACTTTATCAATTACCTGAAGAGAGAAGAAATCAATATAAGTCAGTCAACTCAATCTAGGTTGAAGCAGTAAAGAACATAAATAGAAACAGCATATGACTGTCCTTCTAGATGAAGATATTGTGAATGTTAAGTGATTAGGTTAGATCATAGAGGGATTGAAAACAAAATTTAAAAAAGAGAGTATCTCAAGATATTCAGAAACACAACACAGCAAAGTTGATAAAAGTGAGTCAACATTCTGGTCAGGCAAAACCATTCCCTGTGATATCGTCTAAGACGCACTACAACAAGAGGCACCATCTGCTGAACTCAAGGTTCAACAGAAAAATGCCTCTTGGAGCACATATCTGATTTGGCTAAGCATCATCATTCCAGAGAGAGGGGAACAAAGAAAAAACTAGATCAAGCAAGAGGCATATACACAAATAACATATATTACCTCATCTGGAACTCGAAGGTACTTGATTGTGTTACCACGGATATAACATTCCGGCATTCTCCAAAACCTATCTCCGTCCTACAGCGTAACATATCTGAGTGTCAACTACACAAAGTTTCATCACAAAGTCTAAACAAATGAATAGTTGTATCAACAATTCAACATATGAAAGCATAACGATAACCTTTGATGTACAAATGACTTCACGCAGATGAATGTTCATCCATGTATCACAATTCACCAAATGCCCATTGTATGTCTCTCCATTCTTGAGCTCCACGAGCTACCAAAAACGATATTCAAATCATCAAAACGGATTCAAAATTTCAAAAAAAAAGGAAGTTCCTTTAGATCCCTAATGCAATGCTCACTTAAAACTCAACTCCATTATAACTAAATTATAATCAAGGGTCGAAATTTTTACTTACCATAGGATGCCCTTGAGCAGTTTTAAGCAGCGATAGAGGAAGCTACAAATCAAAACAAAACCTAGAGTAAAAAAAAATTGACACTTTAACGCAAACGAGAAAGAACGAAAAACCCTAATTCCGTTAAGCAACTTACCATCTTTTCAAATCAGAAGCTTTTAGAGATCCGAAAAGAACCTGAAAACATCAGAGAAGAGAAATATTACATTAAACCATCCATAAGATGCGGAAGAACCAATAATGAAAACAGAACAAAAACCCTAATTTGGTTACTTAGAAAAATCTGAAAAAAAGGAGAAACCTTGCTATATACTAAGAAGATCGGCTTCCTCTTCCACAAGAAGGTGAACGATTAGAAGAAGTAAGAGATCGGAGGCGACGAAACTTCGAAATCTGTTTGCTTTTTCGACTTCTCGGGGTATGAATGACAGTGAGAGGGATTTCTAATGAATTGGTGGTCTTTTAGGTCAATGGGAAGTTTAAGAGTTTTGCATTCGAGTCCCTTAACTTTACAATATTTTCAATTTCGCACTTTATTTTCTTTTATATACTTTTATATAGAGATTTAGTCAACAAATCCGATGTCGTCCAGCGGTTAGGATATCTGGCTTTCACCCAGGAGACCCGGGTTCGATTCCCGGCATCGGAGCTTTTTAATATATTTTTTGTCTACACCAAAGGGTATTTGTAGCCGTTTGAAAATTTGGTTTTGGAGGAAAATAACTAATCTCTTTAATATGCTATTGATGCTCTGGAAATTAATTAATTTACATCACCAACACAAACTCTGTGAATCAAAAGGCAAGTGATATGTCAAATCTAATCCTAAACCATCTCCAGTATCTAAATCTTAATCAAAGTTTCAATCAGACAACTGTGGGATTGTGAATCTCTAACTGGTTTCAGCACACGAAAAGCTGATAGTCCGGTTCGTGAGCTCCGACATTCAAGTAATTGACATCAACCGCAGTTGTTCCCAAATCATCTGGTGGAGAGGGGAGAAGACAGAAAAATTTCAATCAATCATTACCTTTTTTGATATATTTTTGAGTGCATAATCTATGTGAACTACAATGAAGCAAATATAGGGTGAGTAAGATGAAAGAAGGCTTAGAGTTGTTCAGACCTTCGTATATTGTTCTTACAAACTTAACATAGTCAGGGATGAGATCTCGGTATATGATTCCATCCGGATGCGCATCAAGCACCACAAGTACACCTACGGATCAATCAAAGAAAAGGAAGATTTAAAAGGTAACACTACAATTGTTTCTCGGGATTCTAATGAACGTAACACAGGACAAAATTTTGGAATGGACAAGAGTTACTCTCAGAGATGAAAACAGAAATTATACCTGGAGCAAGCCAATCTGGAGAAGAGTTGCTGGGTAATGGTGCAAGCCAAAGGATATTCCTCAAGTTCATTGAATCATCGTATCTCATGTCAGATCCTAACAGAGAGGGGATACAATCATAATAGGGAAGATTAAAGGGATTTCTGTTACCATTTTTATGTTTCAAGAGATTGCAAGAAAAGTAACAGTCACACGGACAAGAGCACATATTACCTCTCTGGCAGTAACCCATGTTGTAAGGAAACACTTTCTTGTCATAGGCTGGATACTCTTTAGCATGAAACCTACCATCAGCAAAAGAAACTAATAAACAACACTATTCAAAATCTAAACTTTCTGTAAATATTTTCCAGAATTCAGTTCTTATGTTCAACCTTTCTAGAAATATTGCAACAAGGGTGATAAGAATCAGAAATCATTCTTCCTTTATTGATAATTGTTGGTCACATTCAAGAACACAAGAACAAATCTTCCTTTATTGATAATTTTTGGTCACATTCAAGAACAAACCCAAGAGAGATCTCTTCACTCTCAAAGTCTAAAGGCTCCCACTTAACCAAATGGTAAAGACCCCGTTAATTTGTTTTTCATCTTGCTAACTTTAACTATTCTAGTGCCTATCAAAGGGTCTCGATTCTGTACACGAATTCACACCGAACTAGGTAACAGAACGTGATCCTTGTTACTATTTCAAGAACCCTACTGTGTGATGTATATTGAGAAGACAAAGGAGACTTACAATATTCCAAGGCGTCCAGATTCTGAGGCAAGAAAAAGGTGACCATGGAACAAATCATATCGACTCAACGAAACATCCAATCCAACACTAGGTCCCCTAGATTCAATTAGATGAAACAAGAACTCGAAATATGAGTTCACTTCCTGTTCATTAGCATCATCAATCAGATCACAACACAATAAGATCAAACACCAACAATGGTTCAAAATGATCTTTTTACCTCTGCTATAAAATGACGACCATAAGTAGTTCTTGTAAGTTGACATTTATCTTTTCTTGATCGTTCAACATCAGGAACCTATAAACCAAATCTAACCAATTCAATCTAACGAACAATAACCAAATCAAACCACCAAATTGGAGACAAACCGGGATCATTTTGGGATTGAGAGTTCGCTGAATTGAACCGGGATCACCACCGGAGTCAACAGCGAGACGAGCAAGCTCTAGAACCGATTCCGGTGGCCACCAGATTAGAGAATTCTCCTCTTCAAACTTACTCAGCTTCTCAACGGCGTCAATTTTACCTGAACAGAGTCCAGTACGAAGCGAACATCGTCCCAATTCGGGTTTAGATTTATCCGATTTGAAAGGGACGAGGAATTTGAGACACGATTTGATTTCTCGTGAGACGATGGGATTGAGGAAAGACGCGGTGGAGGATGGTCCGAGAACAGAGAGAAGATCGCCGGCGTTGGCTTTTGGCAACGACGACGGAGATTGGGAACTGGCGAGTTTGAAGGAAGAAGCTGCTGCGATGGAGAAGGAAATGAAAATGGTGAAACGAAGAGGAACGTATGAATTCACCATTGTCGTGTCCTTCTTCTGAAGTTTTGGTGAATCCACATTATCTTTGTTCTTGTGGGAGAGATTGGAGAATGGAGAAGAGAGACAGTAGAGTCACGTAAACTCCATTTATTTGTTAAGTAAGAATTATTAAAAGAGTTTAATCAAAGAAGCCATTAATTAGGGAGAAACAATCAAATTCGTTTTGTCACTTCATTTTGGTCAACAGTTTGTGGACAACCAGAAAACCCATTAAGAAGCCCATTAAGAGACAAATAAGGCTGCTTCAATCAAACTAATCTGATCATCCATCAAATCTAACATTCCACTACAAATTCTAATTTCACAATGTTCAGAATTTTAAAAAATATATATATTTCAAATATGAAATTATGACTATTTATGCAGAAAGTTTAATTTTGACGGTGCGAGTGAAACAGATATGATTTAGTATTACAAAACATCTCACATTATACTCTAGTTATCAGTTTTTTTTTTTGTTTTTTTTCCCGGAAAATTTAATAAAGGGAAACTAAACTTTTTATTATATCTCAATAAAAACTTGTTACATTTTACATTTTCTATGAATGTAAAAAATTGTAGATGTGTCAGTCAAGTGGTTAAGTCCATTTGACTCCACTTTTTCCACCGGAGTTCGACTTCACTAAATTGCGTTATCCCACCTAGTAGGGATTGGGTATGGATTAGAAAGGATATTTATTTAGAAATAGAGAGAGTAATTAATTAATCGGAGTCAAAGAAAGCTTCCATTTTATGACAGATAATTTGTAGTTAAAAGAACTTTTGTATAAATGTTGGGTGTTACTGTGTTAGGCGGTGATGGCCCCCATGTTTATCAGATAAACCAACATGCCACCAACAACCAAATAAAGAAACGATTTGATTCTGCCTTTGTTTTCAATCTCTATACATTTTGCTTTTATTCTTTTAAGTCTTATTTTGGATTGACAACATTATCAAAGCTTTATTTCTGCTTTCTCCGACAAATCAGCTCTAAACAAAATTGCATTCAAAAGTCATATTATGATTTCCTTGTAAACTTATATATATATTTTTTTTCCTTGTAAACATATGCATTTAGGTGTCACTTGGCAGGTAATTAAAGCCTAGACGTTATGTCGCATTGAATGTGTTGGCTAAGCACCTAATTAGTCCATTAATGGACACTTTAAAAAGTTTCTTGTTCGACTGCTCCACTTAACTTGCTATATGGAAGGATATATATCGTAAGTATCATCATCTTGGTGAATCTATTCATGTTCATGTATATAGTTATGTTTTTGTTTGGTAGAACACAAGTAGTTTGAGGTATAACAAGATTTTGTTTAACAAAAAAACCAATATCTCCGTAAGTGAAGTAAGTTAATATTATATTATATGTATAAAATCCCAAAACAGAGAAAACAAAAAACATCAAAGTAAAAAAGCACAAGAACGAGAAAGGTAAAACAAGAAATTCAAATTCAACGCCTGCACCTCGTGATTGTGCTGCAACCGCGGCTGTAAGGGTTAGCCTGAGCGCCGCGTTTGCAGTTGTAGTAAGATGCACCCCGTCGGGAACAAGGAACATTGTTCTTCCTCATTGCACCGTAGCTAATGTACTTCTTCGAAGCTAAAATACGCCTACTGATCTCAGAATCGAATTCATACTCTTCTTCTTCGGCTATACATTCCGCGATTGATCCTTTGCAGTTAGAGGTGGTTCCGGTTCGGACTACGAACCCCAAGACGTCTTCGTAGCCGCCGGCTTCAACTGCCGCGATCACGATCATGAGAATCGCTACCGCAGCGTAGATCGTACGAGAGTTCACCATTCTACTTGCAAAACCTTCTGATTAATTAGAGAGGTTTTTAACTTCTTTGTCGTCTTTGAGTTTTACAGCAGAAGACAACACGGCTTAGCTTTGGTCTTTAGCCTCTTATTAAGTTATTATAACTCAAGGAAATTATTTAGAAGTGGACATTCCCTTAATTGGTTTTATTTACGGAAACACCATTGCCTTTGTTTGAACATATCTATACACGTATAATTTGATTTTCTTTGTTTATTATACTTTTCAATTCGGATTTTTAAAAACAAATTCAGAAATTGACTTGAACCGACGTACGTACCGTTCGTTATGTGTTAATTTTTTTAAGGTATTTAAGTTTTTTGTATGTTGCAGTCTTGCATAAAAGGTTACATTTTTGTCGTAGTAGTAGTAGTGTTACCATCTGGAAGTACCTTATAAACCTTATAAACTTTATAAAATTTTAGAAAACTTTTTAGATTTAATAAGAGATATTTTTGAAAATAAACAACTAAAGGGAACATTTTTAAAAAATGCACCCCAACAAAAGTATTTCTCAAAAATTTCCAATGCTAAAAATCATGTAGACCACTCCAATTGGTTGACTGGTTTCTTAAAAGTCAAAACCTTCGGACACCACAAATCAAATGGTATGAAGTAGGACGAGAGATAAAGCCAGATGACATCAACCCTAAGTCCTAACTCCGTCCAACGTTCCGTACACATCGGCGGACGTTTTTATCATCAGTCACCGTTAAAGATTATTGGTCCTTTTCTGCTCAAATTTCTTAAAAAGTTCTTTATCTCAAAAAAAAAAAAAATTAAAGACGTGTAGGTCACTCCTCCTAAACACCACCAACAACAACGTAACTTCACGATCGTCCCTATAGTTGACAAATTACACACAAACAAAAACGCCAAGTAAACGATTTTTGTGTGTAAATATCATATAATTACAAATAAATACTTCCACCTTGTTGACCAAAAAAAAAACTTATAACATCTCCACCTATGTATAAACATGCATGATTGTATCATTTATTTTTATGTATATGACATTGGTGTTAGGATTTAAGAGACTAAGCTCATAAGAAAGAGTAAACAATCACTTGGTGATTGAATCTCCTTTTACCCACACAAAGGGAACTCGTTCTCAAGAGGAAGAGACCATCAACTTGTGATGGAATCTACACAAATAACCAACAATATCTCCGAATATACTATGTAGTAAATCGGTTATATGAAGGAGAAAAGCTCTAGTTTGAGAATAATCCTTGTCTAGTAACACAACACTAGAGTTTGTGTACTTAAGAGAAAGAGGATTTGAGAATCAGTAATCTAGTGTCTAAGGACTAAATAAAGAAGAGTTTAGACTATATTTAAGAGTAAGATTAACAAGAAATGGGCTGCCCTAAGGCAAACCTAAACGGTTTAACTTTAACTCTCTACATTGTTAACATTAAGTTAAACACAAGTAAAGTAGATTAAGCTAAAACATTTTTGTATCAAGACTTGTCTTTTCTTATTGAAGTGCTCTTCTTAATGTATTGATTTTACAATGAGAAGCCTCTCCTTTAAATAGGCCAAGAGGAGAAAACATTTTCTACACAAAGCTAAAGAGTGTAAAGTGACATTAGGTGAGATGGTTCCCTTGTCCCCTCCTTGTTTCAAGCTTAGGTTGTCTCCTCCTTGTTTCAAGCTTAGGACCACATGTGACTTTCTCCAACTACTCCATTGAGAAACTTGAACTCCCCATGCTTTCTAGAAGCTTTCTAATGGGCTTCTCTCACTTAGGCCTTTCACTCCATGGACTTCCTTTAAGAGTTCATGGAGTGACTTTTCTTATGAGTTTAGGCCTTCTTTACTTCATTCATTGGCCCTTTCTTTGCACTTTGGGTCTTGGTCACTTTACACCAATTTTGCACTTCCGGTGTTTCGTCTTCGGCCTTGTCTTGAGAACATCGGCCTTGACTCTTCTTATGAGCTTACACCAATTTTGCACTTCGGTGTCTTGGTGACTTTACACGAATCTTGCACATCCGTGTCTTGGTGAGATCTTCGGCCTTGTCTTGATGACTTCGGCCTTGACTCCTTTCTTCTTCTTCTTCTTTTTCTTGGAGATGGCTCGGCCTCTTCAGCCTCTCTCTCCTTTTCTTCATACACTCTAATACTCCCCCGCAAGCTTGAGCGTCGGGACACCAAAGGACCAAAGATCAAGCTTGGAATCCGCAAAGAACTACCTCATTAAAAAAACCTTAACAAGGAAAACCACGTGGGATAAAACCTTGCTAAGGGAAAAAGAGTATAGTCTTTACGGTCCTTGATGTAGCTATGATCTCGGTTTGACATTGACTAGAACCGGCTCCCTTTTCTTCAAGTCCGCAACTTCCATTTCCTTAGCCCTTCTTTGCTTGATCTCTCATCTTAGGGGTTTTCTTCATTTAGTGCTCCTTTTGAGAATCTCCACGCACTCCTCCTTCCCTTTGAACCTTTTTAATTGAAGAAGATGACTTTGAATGAGATGCGGTTTGATCATAATTTTCATGGGACTTAATCTTCCCGCAATCTCCATTTGAAAACTTTGTGCTTGACTCTCCTTGAAGTCATATGCACATCCGATCATCTTGACACTAGCACACGTGTGTTGGGGCTGATTCAAAGTGTCCCACCAGCTTGCCTCTCCACTAAGAACTTCCACCATAGCCACCTTTGGTCTGCTTCCTCTTGTCAGCCTCTCAGGTCCGCCATGTCCAAGTCAGCCGGTTGAACTAGGTTGGGCTTGTCTTGTGGTGTCCGAAACTGATGGTCACTGCTCTAACTCCCTCACTATGGTTGATGTGCCTTCTTGTGCCGCTTCTTGTTGCTTCTTCAAACGTTTTAGAGCTTCTTAAGGCTTCTTTAAACGTTTTTAAAGCTTCATTTCTTCACATAAGCACCAAAAACGTTTTGAAGATGATCCATCGGTTTACCACCAGCTTTGCATCTACTCTTGATCTTCCACCCGCTATTTCCTCTTGGTCATCCTCTGGGGTTCACCTTGAGCTTTGACTAGGTTGGTCCCATCAAGTAGTCAGCCTCTTGCTTGTTGAGAACATCGGCCTTGACTCTTCTTATGAGCTTACACCAATTTTGCACTTCGGTGTCTTGGTGACTTTACACGAATCTTGCACATCCGTGTCTTGGTGAGATCTTCGGCCTTGTCTTGATGACTTCGGCCTTGACTCCTTTCTTCTTCTTCTTCTTTTTCTTGGAGATGGCTCGGCCTCTTCAGCCTCTCTCTCCTTTTCTTCATACACTCTAATAATTGGTATATTGTACATAAAATATAAACGAAGTATCTTAACTTTAAATGGTAGTTTAGATTTTTGACCAGAAAATGGGATATAACAAAGTAATCTTAACACAAAGCTCTTTTTCTTTTCTTGGTCCTGTAAAACTGTCATAAGCACAAACTTCAACCGACAAAAATTTAACTAAAAGGAAAGCAAATAAAGATTACCAAAGATATGGAGAATCTTGTTTTTCCACGTTGTTAAAAAGTGGGTGAAAAGCTATTCGTTTTGTCAAAGGAACATTTCATTTCAATCATTAAGATTTTAGAACAATGATACTTAAACATTAGTTAATTGTATTTAAATATATTCTTTCAATGCATTTATCATTTCAAATAAAAAAATTCCGGTCAAATTTTAGGAGAGGAGAGGGGAGGTGGTTTATTGGTTCATGGATTTATAAGGATTTGAAAATCCAAAACAAAAATCATATGTTATTCAATCATTGATTTTAAAATCATAATTAAAATAATTTGTTATTAGTTCTATGATTTATAAATACTATTTAAAATTCTATATTATTCGTTTAGTCATTTGTTTTTGGATTGTAAAATCCAAATTATATTTTAAATGGATTTGAATGGATTTAAAAGAGAAAAATAGAAGGATTCAAATCCATGGGTAAACACATATTAATTCAAAATTCATATGTCTTGATTTCATAATTAATAAAGATTTTTAAATCCTATATGAATTTACAAATCAATAAACCAATAACATTCAATCTCTTATCGTATGTGTTCATTTATTTATTCTAGATAAAAGAGGTCAACAAAATGCTACCTTCAAGGAGATCCTACAGTAGGTCCACTTGGTGACGACAACTACGACTTCATAGTCGAGTATTCAACAAAGGAGGACGAAGCAAACCAGCAAATCATGATGATAAAGATGGATTTTCCTCCACCAAAAGACTTTGTCAAGGACAATATTGTGCATACACCAAAGATCGTTCCAAACAACATCAACTCTTCTGGATCCGACGAATTAAGCCAAGCAGAGAAGGTTCTCAACTGGCAAACAGAAAATGCATTTGTTCAGAATCAATTATTGTCAACCATTAGCCACAAGGTTGATCAAATGTCGGAAAACAACAATAGAAGATTTAACAGTCTGCAAGGAGCCATATCGGAGATTCAACAGAAACTCAACAACTTGCACCATGAAATGATGGCTATGGCAAAACAAATGAAAGTTGATACGTCACAGTTCAGAAGTAAAGAAGCTGAACAAACCAATCTCAAATATCAACTCAAAGACCTTCAAAGGAGCCTAGATAGTCTAGTCCAGAATCAGAGGCGAGTTAATGTGTATAATCCGTTTGACTATATGTCATCTGGATTACCCACATATCAAGAATAGTATTCCCCAGGGTTTCTGTCTGGTTATGAAGATCCAAGACCGAAACAGCCTGTACCTGGATTCTTATCCTCAGATGAAGCCTTTACATCTCGGTTTGGTACAACTTCAATCAGCAATTTTAAAACAAAAGCGGCAAGAACTAAACCAAGGCATCAAAAGGATTCTGAATTTCAAATTAATCCATCCAAGAAGCCAAGTTTTGCATCTTCATCAAGCCATGAGTCCGTTCAAGATGAAAATAAAGAGGATGTTGCAAAGAAGGAAGATATTGCGATGATCGAGTTTTCAATGTCTAGTTTACTAGAAAATCTTGTGAAGACATCTGAAGACGAAAGACAAGAATTGCAAATTCAATTAAAAGAGCAGCAGCCGCTACCAATCGTTACAATGACTCACATTTCAGCTCTTTCGGATTCAACCTCTTCCGTCAATGAATCAGAAACAATTACAGCTTTGTTTGGACAGTCTTTTGCAAAACAGCTCTTTCGGATTCAAACTATTCCAACAGAAGAACCAATCTATGAAGTAATTTCAAGTGACAAAGAGATGGGCTATGAAACTCAAGGTGTACCAAAGAAGCAGTTTTCATCAAAGATAATGGTGTTCACATTTGATGACATTCCTTTTGAAAAATGGAATAGTCGTCTTGACGAATTCCATGCGTGGATGACCTCCGAAGCAATCACGTCCCCAACAGATATGGTGATACAACAATTCACATCGAGACTTTCAGGCGCATTAAAAGAATGGTGGAATTCGCTTGGAGAATATCGGCAGCAGCAGGTGTATCAGACAACGATACCTCTACTTCTTGGAGAAATACATAGAGAATTCGTTGGCACCCCAAGTCATTTAAAAGAACAACTACAAGAAGAGTTCTACACAGCAAAGTGTTGTTCATTAAAGAAGAGAGATTTAGCAAAGCATTCGAGCGACAAACTCGAAGGTATTATGCTCTCAATGGTCTAAACAATCCAAGCCTGAAGCAAGTATATCTCTCATCAATAGATGACTACCTAAGTCAACAAACGAAGCTGTATATCAGAGATCAAGGACAGACAATCGAAGAAATCTCGATTGGACAAATCCAGCAGCACGTGTTCAGAACCCTTGACAAGCTCTGTAAGCAAAAGGAGTTTTGGTCAGAATTCATGGATAAATCAAAGCATCTTTCGAAGATATGTGCTCGTCCGGATCTGAACATCAAATGTTCGAAAAAGAAATAATGTTCATGTGAAGATCGATGAAAAGACCAAAGAAGATCCAAGAAATCATTCTTGAAATCGAAGTATTTCAACAAGATTAAACGCAAGCGATTCTTCAGAAAGAAGAAAAGCTTCAAGAAAACTTTGAGATGTTTTCTATGCAGAAAGACGGGGCATTTTGCAAAAGACTGTCCAAACAAGTCTAAAAAGAAGAAGCAATATCTCATTCACTCGATATCCAAGATAGCTCCAGATCTTGATATCGATAACCACGATCTTGAGTCAATACTATCTTATGATAGTGACGAGAATGATGCTATATACAGTTATTCAGATTATGATGAATCTTCAGAATCCTCATCCGAAGATGAAAAAGGCGATTGTTGTTTCAAGATTGCCTAGATACCTCAAGAAGATGAACTGCAGACACCGCATCTACCAGTAACCATCTTTGATCCCTCAAGAAGAGAAAAACCAGTACATGCAATCGCATTCATCGACACAGGAGCTCATACAACAATCATAAACCCAAAGATTCTCTCACGAAACATGTGGATGCCTCATCAACAAGATTTCAGAGTCGCAAACTCTGGATTAGAGCTGTCAAGCGGGCTTGAAGTCCGCGGGCTAAGCCCAATTAGTACAGTTGTGGGGCGGGCCTGGACACTTAAAATTATGTCCATAAAAACGCGCGCATTGCGGGCATGGTCCATGCGGAAACGGGTTTAGCGGGTTGACCCGTTGCGGTTTGGCGGGTTTGCGGGTTGGTCCGCAAAACTGAAACCTTTTGTTTCTCTTAGAGGTTTCTGATACGTTTGAGACAAACCTAAAAGTCTAAAACCTTACAGAACTGATTCTTTTCTATTGTGCTACAAGGAAAGCGAAAAGTCACGCTTCCCAGTTTCAAAACTCAAAGGCTCATATCATTCATCATCCATCACAGAGTCTCAGATTCTCAAAATCGATTCAATATAATTTTCACAGAGCCACATTCAACAAAAACCAGAAAGTTGTAATGGTAAGTTACAATTACAAAGTTAGTCTATTGATTAAATTTTTAGTCATGTTCAAACTTAAAAGGTAATAGTATTTTTATTTTGTGTAGGAGTCACGTGATTCTTACGATCTTAGATCGATAGATTTGGAATCTCAAAGAGTTATTGATTTTGCAAATGCTGAACATGAGCGATAGACGTTTAATGGAGCTGAAGCATCTAAATCTCGAAGAAAGCCATCCATTGAGATTGAAGATGATGATGATGTTGATAGAGAAAAGTCACCACCACAAAAGAAGAGAAGTAAGTCTCATGAAAGGGAAAGATCTAAACCTAGTAGAAAACCATCCATTGAGATTGACGATGATGATGTCGACAAAGAAACGTCACCACCACAGAAGAAGAGAAGGCAGTCTCATGGAGTTGAAGGATCTAAGCCTTGTAAAAGGCCATCCGTTGAGATTGACGATGATGATGTCGACAAAGAAACGTCACCACCACAGAAGAAGAGAAGGCAGTCTCGTGATGATAATGATGAAGATGGTGATGATGAGGGTGATGATGATGGTGACGATGGAAAATCATCACCAAAGAAAAAGAGGAGGCAGTATTCAGACGTGTGGGAACACTTTACCGTGATTACTAAAAAAGATAAAAAAAGGGGAAAAAGAAGAAAGAGCAATGTGCAAGCATTGTAAGAACGATTATGCATATAATCCACACAAAAACGGTACAAATTCATACCGACGTCATTTGGAGGTGTGTAAGCTTAGGATTAGAAGTGGTGATATTGGTAAAATGATGATCAATTCAGAAGCGAGGTTGCAAGCTAGGAAGATAGATCAAATGGTTTTTCGTCAAATGGTAGCTAAATGTATCATTCAGCATGATCTCCCATTTTCTTATGTTGAGTATGAGAGAGTAAGATCAGTTTGGAAGTACTTGAATGATCGTCAAAAGTGTTCTCTCTCACTTTAGACAATGCTACTAACAATGATACAATGCAAGAGATGGTGAAAAATCAGCTTATGTTGAGGAATGATTTGGTGTGTGGAGGAGACTATTTTCACGTGAGATGTGCAGCACATGTTCTTAATCTCATTGTTCAAAGAGACTGTTGTTGCTTGTGGAAAGTCTTCTCTGCAAATGTATCTTGATGAACTGGCATTAGATATGAGGAACTTTGAGAGTTTAGATATTCTAAAGTTTTGGAAAGATAACGCTCAGCGCTACGGAGAATTGGCTTCCATGGCTTGTGACCTCCTTAGTATACCAATCACAACAGTAGCCTCTGAATCGTCTTTTAGCATTGGAGCTAGAGTTTTGAACAAGTATAGAAGTTGTCTCCTACCAAAAACTGTTCAAGCATTAATATGCAGCCGCAATTGGTTAAAAGGTTTCGAAGCATATGAAAACGGTAAACAAATATGTTTCACAAATTATTCAATTACATAAAAATTGTGTATTAACTTTGTTTTTGTTTGAAATTTGCAGTGGTGGTCGTAGACTCTAATGGTGAAGATGAGACGTTACCTTCTTTTCAATCAATTGTTGATGATGAAACATTTGATGATGAAGATGATGAAGCAGCTTAAGTTTCAGTTTGATTTGATTTTCAGGTTTTGTTTCAGGTTTTAGTTAAATTCAGTTTGAGTTTAAGTATGACTTTGAGTTTTAGTTTGGTTTCAGACTTTAAGTATGATTACTTTTAGTTTGGTTTGAGTTTAAGTATGACTTTGACTTTATGTTTGAGTTTCAGCTTTGGTTCTAATGTTTCAGACTTTGAATATTTGAGTTTTAAAAATTCAGTGTTTAAGACTTTAAGTGTTCCAAAGTTTCAGGTTTGGTTTCATGACTTCAATGTTTCAGACTTTAACTTTGTTTAAGTCTTCAGTCGTATCGTGTTTCATTGTTTGATTTTCAATGCTTCAAGAGTTTCAGGTCTCAATTTTTTATGGTTAATGTGAAAACAAATCACACATTTAAAATTACCACACATTCACTAATCAGTCACTGAATCACACATTCAAAGATCACATTACATGTATGACACATTCAAAGATTACACATTAACATAATGCCCGCGGGCCGACCCGTTTACCCGCTGTACTTTGCGGGGCGGGTATGGACACTGTTTTCTTTGTCCGCGGTTTAGCGGGCGTGCCCGTTGCGGTCTGAAAAAATTGCGGTCAAATGCGGGTCTGTCCAGGCGGACGCGGGCATGCCCGTTTGACAGCTCTACTCTGGATCCCTAACGGTTAAGCTGAAATCAAAACCAATCACGATAGAGCTTTTTCCAGGATGTCACGTTACTAAGGAAGTACTAGGTTCATCTGTACCTGGTAAAGACTTAATCCTTGGATGGGATACATATTCGGTACTGAAAAAGAAGTTCGGCATTTCTCTAGAACCAAGAGGTGTGAGATGGAAAAATCTCTACAAGGCTTTTACCATGATGCATCGCCTGTTCTCAATCGAAGACTCGGTATCTGCGGGGTTCAATAAAATTGAAGAAGAATTAAAGATGACATCATGCGCTGATTCACACACGGAGTTCCTTCAAAAGTGTAATCATCCGCTATGGTTGAACTAAGACTTCTTCGTATCCCTACCATTCAAGGAAGACATACACACAACACCGACAAAGGCAAGCCATGCAGAATGCCTCCAACATTGTTGCAGAAGGCAAATGAAGAATGCAATCAATTGGTGGATCAAGGTATCATCTCAAGAACAAACTCTCCCATGGGCATGCAAAGTGTTCTACGTTAATAATCGTGCAGAACAAGCCAGAGGAAAACTCAGATTGGTTATTGACTACAAGCCATTGAACCAGTATCTGCAAGACGTCAAGTTTCCACTACCAAATAAAAGAGCGCTTCTCCAACATCTCCAAAGTGCAAAAATATTTTCGAAGTTTGATCTAAAATCAGGATTTTGGCAACTCGGAGTTCATCCTGAAGAAAGATACAAGACTGTATTTTGCCTTCCAAATAGACATCTTCAATGGAATGTCTTACCCTTTGGTCTCAAGACGGCGCCATCACTATTTCAACAAGCAATGTTACGTATATTCGAGCCATTGTTACACACAGCTCTTATATACATTGACGACATACTCATCTTCTCAACAAATGAAGAAGAGCATATTCAGGCGCTACAACAGTTTCAAGACATTGTCAAGAAGAACGGGATCATGCTATCAGCCAGAAAGATGATAATAGCCCAGCCCAACATTGATTTTCTTGGCATGCATATCAAAGAAAGAAGTTTCATACCACAAGCCCATTTAGCTACAGAACTTCTGGATTTTCCCGATGAAAATCTTACAAGGCGACAAATTCAACAATTTCTTGGCGTAATCAATTATGTGGGAGACTTCATTCCACACCTTTCCAGAATGACGAGACCTCTACAGAAAATGTTGTCGAAGAACCCTCCTTTGTGGGCATCACGACAAACAAAAGCTATCAAAAGTCTAAAAGCAGAAGTGCAAAAGCTACCCCCTTTAAAGATTCTTTCCTCAGGCATGCGTATTCTACAGACAGACGCTAGTGATAAGTATTGGGGAGCAATACTGTTTGAAGAGATGGATGGGAAAAGACAAATCTGTGGATACAAGAGTGGTCGTTTCAAAGATTCAGAGCAACATTATCACTCAACGTTCAAGGAGATTTTAGCGGTCAAAAGGGCTATCGAGAGGTTTGAATTTCATCTAATAGGACACATGTTTCGTATAGAAATGGATATGTCTTCATTTCCCAAGATGTTACAGTTCAAGCAGAAGATGGTCCCACATCAACAGCTACTAAGATGGAGCGAATGGTTCTCAAAGTACGATTTCGAGTCAGTCTATTTAAAGGGCACCAAGAACACTTTAGCAGACATGCTTAGCCGAAAACCAGTAAAACAAGAAACGCCCTACGAGATACACATGATGGCCAGTTCCTCCGAATCCAAGAAGAGCTACTATGACTTTGAAGCCGACGTACCCGAAGATGTTCATTAACTCATCAGCAGAAACAAGCTTCATGAACTACTACGCACAAAGATCTTTTCATATCAATCTACCATCCTGTCGAACTATGGAGTAAACTGTCACCACATTGCTCCAATGGGAATTCATCCTGACTATCCGTTTGCACATCTCTACAGAATCGAGAATTCAAACATGCCAGAAGAAGTTCTCTGTTTTCTTTGGTATCTCTGTGCTATCTACACTGTAGGAATTGCTTTCGACATCCAGTGGCTATACCATTACGTCAACACTGTTCAAGACAAAAGAGACTGTTTCTCAACATTCCTAATGTGGTTTTCACCATTGACTGTCTGGAGTGGAAAACTACGAAAATCCGCGAAAGCAACGAATCTAACATTCAAGAAGCTGAAAAAAGGTGGACACAACCCATTCTTCAATCCACATTCAATCTACTTCTTTCATCGTCCCGTTAAGGTCAACCGCAAAACAAGCAAAATTCTTGCTCTTCCAACTCTCATTCATCACGGTGATTTTTCAAGAGGAGTTCGTCCAGATTTCAACCTTCAAGATAACGAAGCATACAAAAACTTCTAAACTCATGCGTTTCACCTCAACAATGCAAGACAGATGTTTCCTACTCCATTCATTTCCAACTGGGTTCACTATCCGGTCGATTATCAGATGCAATTTGATGAAGATTTACAGTATTACATGATGAAGTTTGACAGAGGAAGACCAAACAGTTCAAAAGAAGATAAACAAGAAGAAACAACTTCCCAAGCGACTTCTCAAGATTACTGTGCTGATTACTTTAAGGACGCTCAATCTCCAGATGATGAAGTAAATGTTGAAGATATCGAAGAAAAGTTCAAATTCTGCATAAATGTTCAACCAGGAGAAGATGCACGAATGATTGAAGACTCGTATGAATGTCCAGATGATCATTATGGATGCTGCGAAGAACATATGCTGGAATTCGAAATGGATCATTAAAAGGTATGGAAAATATAAAATAAGTAAAATATAATATGTATGATGTGTCTAAAATCATGTAAAATAAATAATGATGTAAGCGATGATGTAGTCGCTGATGTAATGATTATGTAAGCAATGATGTAAGCGATGATGTAAGCGATGATGTAATCGCTGAGGTAAGCGCTTATGTCAGCGCCTTAAATCCTCCTATAAATAAGTGTGCACCCCTTGTAAGAAATCACAACTTGAAATATCATAAAATTTCATAATAGCTTTCTCTCTCTAAAATGTCTCTCTAACTTCTCTCTAAATTTTCCAGACTTCCTAACTTCTTCATAAACCTTGTTTTTTTCTATTCTAAACACAGTCGCGATTCTGTTTCTTTTCTTAGGGTTAGCATAAGTGGTCCGTCAATACGACGGTCGAACACGACAGTCAATAGTACTCGCCGGGGTTCACAGTTCCTAATAGTAGGTTGAGTAACACGGATGACAATGAGGCCCGAACCGCTCCCTTTACCTGGAATATGAACCCTTGCTTGTCGATACGACTCGTCGTCTAGACTTAGTCAACACGACCCTCCGCTCGTGCTAGCTTTAAGATTATGGCACAAAAAAAAAAACTAAAAGAGTATTTGATTTTTTTTTGGTTATTAATTAAAAATGGGATTATGAATCTTTGAATAAAGAGTAGTTGAAGCTTCTATAATATGCAAAAGCTTCTTTTCTTTGAGGAGATGCTTTAACACATATTTGACACTTTTTATAATATTGTGCAATAAATCATTCGCTAGTTCTAAACTAGCTTTTACTATGATATTCAAAATATGTGCAAAACATCTAACAAGCATAAACTCTTCATCACATAATAAACCACTGCCACTAATCATCTGAAGTTGACCCTTGAGAATGGTCTGCATACTATTATGATTTTCTGCATTATCTAGAGTAGTTGAAAATACCTTCTTCTTTAGTCCCCATTCTTTCAAACACTCCAAAACTTTTTTAGAAATTTCTTCAGTGTGTAGAGACTTCAATTCACAAAAAAGCTAGAATCTTACTGTTTAATTTCCAGCCATCATGAATGAAGTGTGCAATCAAAAAAATATAACTCATGACTGTGGCATGAGCTGACCATAAATTTGCAGTGAAACAGACACGACCACGATGCTTTGCAAGTACCTCTTTCAGCTTGATCTTTTCAATCTCGTACTGCCTATACACATCCGCTCCAGCAGTCTGTCTAAAAATAGGTTGGCATACTTGTCTCTTGCTCTGACTTTTTCATATTTAGCATACCGAAATGGAAAATCATGATAAATTATGATCTCGCTAGTCATCTCACGGTCTATCTTATGATCATATGCATGCATATCTTCCTTTCTAGGCTTCATTGAACACTTATCCAAATTGGCGAATCAAACTCTTTGTTCCATGTGTTTTAGTATTAATCACTAACTTTGTACCACAATGGATGCATTTGCCTCTTTCTTTGCCATCTTTTTTTGTCCCAACTAATACAAAATGGTTCCAAACTACTAAAGTTAATCGTCTTTTCCTTGGAGCTTGAGTGTCACTTTGCTCTGGTTCTTCAATTTCTATTTCTCCCTCATTCATCTCAATGTTTTCATCTTGAGCATCTTCCTCATTCATATCAATATAT